TGACATGTTTGCTGTTGATCATAATGCTTGCAGGATTAAAAGGTTGAAGCAAGAATTGAATAAGTCTTTTACTATGAAAGACTTGGGACCAGTAAGATAGATTGTTGGCATGCAAATTGTCCATGACAAAAAGAGGCCAAAAAGTTATTGTTATCACAAGAGAAGTAAAGTCAGAAAGTACTTTGTAGATTCATCATGTACAAAGCTAAGGTTGTTCGTACACCTTTCGCTATGCACTTCAAATTGAGAATGAACCATTATCCTTCCGGTGATGGTGAGAAGAAAAATATGAAGAAACTTTCTTATGCTTCAACCGTTGGTTGTTTGATGTACGCAATGATGTGTACAAGATTAGATATTGCTCATTTTGTTGGTATTGTTAGCCATTTTCTTTCTAATCCGGGAAGAGAGCAATTGAATGATGTAAAGTGGATTGATTATGAGATATCTTTGCCGCACCTCTAGTCTGAGTTTGTGTTTTGGGACAGGAAAGCCTATTTTTTCTAGTTACACTGACTCAGATATGTTAGTTATGTTAGTGATGTTGATACTCGTAAGTCTACTTTAGGCTACTTGATTACTTTTGCAAGGGGGAGTTGTGTCTTTGCAATTTAGGTTGCAAGAATGTGTTGCTCTATCTACTATAGAAGTTGAGCTTATTGTAGTTATTGAAGCTTGTAAAGAGTTGCTTTTGGATGAAGAAATTCTTAGGGGAACTTGGTTGTGCTCAAGAGAGGTATGTGCTTTACTGCGATAGTCAAAGTGCTATCATCTTGGCAAGAATTATACATTTTATGGTCGATCTAAGTACATTGATGTGAGGTATCATTGAATTCGAGGTGTGTTGGATTCTAAGTTGCTTGAACTTGAGAAGATCCATACCAATTATAATGGTTCTGGCATGATGAGTAAAGCTTTGTCAAGAGGGAAGTTTGAAGAATGTTGCATGATCGTCGGGATGGTGGTCTTCTCTACATAGTCGGGAGGGGGAGAATGTGGAGGTTTGGGTCTTTTTCTCTTCCTATGTGGATAAATAAAAGCCCAATTTGAACTAGCTCACTTTTGCACATAAGCCCAATATTATGGTGCATATGTAAGACTTCTTTTAGGTCTTATTTTCAGAAGATTCACAAGGGAGATCAACAGTCATATAGAGAGAAAGTGAGAGAGTGCACATTTTCGCACAAGCTCTAGCAGTCAATTTAAAATGGTGATTTCTGCTTCGTTTGTTGTCCGATTGAGCTGATTTTTGTATAACTTGTTCCTTTCAACTTAAAATTTGATTGGGAACTGAGAGAGGTGGATTTTCAGTTCTGTAGCTCCAGATTTTAGTACGTGAAAAGTAGCTATGTTTGGTGATTTTACTCCATTTATTTCTCTAGCTTTTTTGTGATATCTTGTAGTTGTGTTGCTCATTGTTTGGCACTTTGTTGGTGGCCATTTTGGAAAACACATTTATAACTCTTTTGATTATAGTGAAGATTTGACCTTGTGGTTTTTACTCTTCACCCCGAAGAGGTTTTTCACGTTAATCTTGGTGTCTCGTGTATTGATTTTATTTTGCCTTGCTATATTTCTTTTGGTTGATTTGTTTGCTGCCCCAAACTGAGTTTGCGCTTGATTTTGTTTGTCTTCGAAGGAAAAGTTTAGATTGAGTTTTCTTTGGCTATTTTCCTGTCGTGCACATTTATTGTGCTTGCGTTTCCCAACAGAATCCTGAGGTCGTTTGGTTGGGAACATGTTATCCCAAGATTAATTATCCTGGGATTAGTTATCCTGGAATAAGTTATCCCACCATGTATATGGGATAACTTATCCCATAACTATGATATAAATGGTGGGATAAGTTATCCCAAACATGACAATCAAACAAGAAATCAAAATTATCCCATGACTATTTGTTTTTATCTCTCACACCAAACGACCCCTTAGAGATGAACTTTGTTATGGCCTTTGCTTTTCGTACCCATTGTAAAAGCAATGTTTATGTAGAGGCTCATGCAACTTTTTGTGGAACCACAAGATCTTCACTTTGAAACTGGATTCTATCCATCACTTAGATGTTCACCAAAGAAAAGGCTAACAACTGTAACTTGAACTTGATTATTGAAGACCTGTTACATTTGAAGAACCAAGTTAATATCAAAAGTATGCATTGTTAATGTAATTCTAATTCGGTGCCCAAAGCACTAGAATAGACAATATTTACTAGTTCAGAAGCCTATTATACTTGTATACCATCACGGATAAATATCAGAATAAGTGAAATTTACTGGGCCAAGAACACTCTTGGACAAATATGTGCATCTAAAAGATTTTCCAATATAATCTGGAAATTAGTTCTATGTATATGATCAATAATTAAATAATCAAATTCAATAGCTATATAGTGAAGGATGTTGGTGTACTTACTGTTGGGTTCGAAAGTGATTTGGGCATCATGCGGAAGCTTACAATTGCAAATCATATGTCGATAAATTAGATGACAAATAAAACTATACTAAAAGACGTGATATTATTATATGATAGGACCAATTGGCCTACGTAATTAAAAACTAACTAAAAGAATAAAAGTTATAGAGAGAAAAATCTTCTCATAAACAAAACTCTCTAAACGGTTACATTGTGGATTCTATTTTGTTTTTTGTTATGAGAATAAGATCTTCAATTTATAGGATTCCAAATTTTCCCTCTAAGGAAAGAATAAACCAAATATGGAAGAAAAATATATTTTCCTTTCATGAAAAATAAAAACATTTATGGTAATATTTTGTCTTTTCTTTTAGGAAAAAATAAACTTCAAATAAGGTAAAATAATGCAGGGATTAGTAATGCATGGATTAATAATACATGGATTAGTAATGCATCTTAAAATGATTAAAAAGTTGAAGGATTTTTTTTGTCGTTAAATAGATTAATCACATGGTATTACTAATACCACCAAATGAGAGGTATTAGTAATACATCTTATAATACCATGTAGGGTGTAAAACTAATCCATTAATTAGTTATACATAGGCCCAAATTCTTACCCAACACAGTTCTAAATAGTAACATACATAATACATGGACTATTTCTTCTAATACATCCTACCCAAACGATCTTTTAGTTTCCATTTAAATAATAGTTATAATCAACCTGCTATTGAGGATATGAAAAAAAAATAACAAAAGAGTTCCAATATTCATTAGTGTGTAAACTGTTACATACTACTACCACTTATAAACATGGATATATCTAGTCTACTAATGCAGGGAAACCTTAGTTTTCATTTAAATAGTAGGTATAACCAACATGTTATTAAGGATATCAAAAATGTCCTTACTGTCAGTACTTTGGTTCAAAAATATCCTTAAACTATGCGAAAAGAACAAAAATGTCTTGCGTTTGTAGTTTGGTCCAAAAATGTCCTTGTTGTCAATACTTTGGTCCAAAAATGTTCTTATTGTTATTTAATGGGTCAAAAATGCTCATTTTCCAAATAAATATATTATTTATTTTCTTTTTAACACATTTTTTTCTAATAATATTTTTTAAAGTTAGAAAATGTTTATCTTACTTCAATTCAGAAAAAAATAAAAAATGAAAATATTTCTTATTTTATTGTCATTATGTTTTATCGTTATATAAATATAAATTAATGATGAATATACTATGATCTTCTATAATGACATATATTATATGTCGAAAGAGAACATGAAGTTATTCTATTTTAATTGATAAAATGAGATTAAGAAGAAAAAAAATATTTCCTACATTTTTATTTGTTAAAGTGATTTTAGAAGAAAGAAAACAAGAATAGTGTTCTTTAATACTTCCTCTGTCCCTAATTACTTGTCTACTTTTGAATTGACACACCTATTAAGAAACAATGATTGACATAGTGAGTTTACCATATTACCCTATTAATTATGAAGTGAATGAATTAAAAACTTAAAAACTTCAAGAAGTTCTACCTTTTACAAAGTAATAAATTGAGGGTATAATAGGTAAAAAAAAGTTGTTCTTTCTTGATTTGTCAAAATGGACAAGTAATTAGGGACAACTAAAATAAAAGCGGACAAGTAATTAGGGACAGAGGGAGTAGTATTTTAATTAGTAAGAAGACGTGTTTAAAAATAAAAAATATATATATTTATTCGGAAAAAGGTTTTTTTGACCCATTTTGCAATTATAGGGGTATTTTTGGACCAAAATATTGACTGCAAGGACATTTTTTAACCAAAGTATTGACGGTAAAGGCATTTTTGAGTCAAACTATAAACGGAGAGCATTTTTATTCCTTTCACATAGTTTAAGAACATTTTTTACCCTTTTCCCTAAATAAAATTATAAAATTTATTTATTTTTATACCATATAATTATGCTATTTCTCAATAATCAGTAGCGTTTTTCTGGACCATTACCGACGACAATAGTTTAGCAAATATAATCTTTTTATAGTCATTCTTTATCCAATTGGGTTAATATTAATCTTGTTAAACAAAGGTTCTTTACATGAATTCCTACTCTCCATAAAATGGGAATTGAGCTTTTTGTCGTCTCTAATAGTCCAGAAAAAAAAAGCTGTTGATTATTTTGCAAAAAGAGAATCATGCCAATTAGAAGGAGAAAAAAATAACTATATGGCAAAGAATTAAATAGATTTTATTATTTTATTTATTTATGGGGTTTATCTTTACATGACATTAAATAATTTATTTATGGGGTTCATGATTATATGGCATAACAAAATAATTTAATTTGACATGTTAAATTTATTTTAATGTTAAATATAGTTGAATGATTTTTGAAGGTAAAAGATTTAGGTTGAGTGGTTTTATTGATATATATAAAATAAAATTCACTGACTTTATTAGATAATTTTTCATAGTTCAGTTACCTTTTAAGATATGAGGTTCTTGGTATTAGATAGTGTCGTCTCGTTGCATTTAGGCACATAGAGCAAGTGTGATTCGTACCATGAAATAAAAACATGAAATTTTAATTTTGTATTAATTTCCAAATCTTAAAATAATTGATGCACAAGTGTTGTGTTTGATTACTATAATTCACTCGAAAATTTTCTTTATTTTCTAGCTCTCATATTAAAAAATATATATATTTGTTACACCAAAATACAAAACATATATACATATGAAACTAAATGGAGCCGAATTCCATCAGTAGCATCTAATGATGATATGGCGAAGTTGTTTGAATTCTATTTTTTCTCTTTTGTAAAAATCTCTGTAAAGATCGCTTCATGAATAGACCGGTTTGAGGTTGTAATGATGGTGATGAGGGCTGAGACATCTTATTTGTTTTCTCCTCCATTCCTCTACTTGCAAGATATATTATAGCTTTAGCCTGTATTTAAAAAAAATAGGATTATTAAAACTTATACTCAAAAACAACTCATTAAAGATAAAAAGAGGAGTTTTAAAGTTAACTTTTGATTCTTTTATAAACGGATTAAAAGACGAAAAGTGAATACTAGCCATTCACTTCATATCCACACAAACAATTAATTAAAGAGAAACGAACTGGAAACTAAATACACATACCTGAAGCTGAGTAACATCAGAATCCACAAATTTTCCATTATAAAATATTGTTAGCTGTTGTGATTTCTTATTCTCGAATTCTTGATCCTCCCTAATAGGAGAAAAGGATGAAAGCGAAAGAGTGAGTTCCAAATTGCAATTTCTTCTCATTTTCTTCAATTAACTTCACTTACACAAACAAAATCTGGGATTGAACTAAGATTTTTATACGTCGAATCGATATCTATGTGTATATTTTGTGTAACTGATAATCAAGATTTACTAGGAAGGTTTTTGGATGAAGTTATGATAATTGATATTTATTGGAGAAGAAAGGGGACTTTGAATGAATAAATACAAAATGATTTTCTTGAAAAAGTAAAAGCCACGTTTTTTTTAATTAATTGATAAAATAGAACACGAAACGAACAATTTTGATAAGGACATGTACATTGTACACACTCCACACACACATAGACAACTAATACAAACACCAATTTTTTGTCGGCCTATGGATCATGCACACAACTGGATAAGTCGGCCTTATTATTTTATATATAATTGACTTATGACGTAGCTAGCCTTTTCAATTTATTTGAATATTCTATTTAGATATTCAAATTAAGTTATTATATTCTAATTGAACACCACATGAACTTCTAACAAAATATTTCAAATACACACTTTAGTTTCAATTTTGAAATATTTTTTTGTGTGTGTTCTCATTCGTCTAGCTATAAGGTATTTAAATTAAAACATAAAGTATGTTATCTCTTTTGAATATATATATATATATATATATATATGTTTTCTTTGTATGCCAAATATTTTAAAGAGCTAGAAAATAAATTACAATCATAAATAAAATATGAAGGAACATAATTTTTTTTGATAAATAATGACGATACAATTCTGTTTGTTCCATTGATTCTTCTCTCTTGTTTATCATTTATCTCTGTGATTCGAGGGTTGAAACAGTGTGTTTCTCGAGTAGGATAATGCGAATCTCCTTGGATTTATTTGATCTCCAAGAAAGAAGGATTTTGTGGATCTTCTTAAAATATTTGATTGTCAAGAAGAGTTTTAATACATCTTGATCTCTTTATAAATATCTCAAAAATTTATTGGATATTTAATATTTCTCTTCAAGAGAATACATTACCATCTATATAGGCATGATCTAGAGTTTAGGATAGAGTATCTTCCATGAACCCTAACTGAAAATTGGGCTTGTCTTGTGGAGTCCCACAAAATTTTGATGCCTACTGCCTCAATAAGTTATAAAGTCCCATGTATTTTCTACTTCAGGTTAATGTGTATAATTAAACGAGATGACATATTTATATGATTTACTTAACTACCTCATAGACGAACAAACATACAAGAAAAGATTTTTCAAAATTTGAATCGAAATTGTCTAATTGAAATATTTTACTAGGAATTGGTGTGTTCAATTGGAATAAAACTTAGTACGAGTGTCTAATTATTAAGACTAGTTTAAAGGGCTGACTATGTATTTAATCAACCATTATACTCCGTAGGGAATTGGACCAGTCGTATATGATTATATGTAATTAGTTTATATGTTTCCAAAGATAATGGTGGCTTTGACGGACCACTAAGCATTACTTAACTATAGTCTATAGATATCATGGTGTCTCGATGGTCCATAGAGAATGCATTTTCTATTCTACATGAATTGATGATATTAGCCGAGTTTATTCCAAGTGTGGTTGATAGGAACCTTGCTAGTTGAGGACTTATTTTTAAGACAAAATAAACTTACTTTTTTTTCTTGATTTTATGGTTGGTGTTACACTAGCAGCATAGTTGTCCAACAAAGATTGACTCAGGGTCAAGTGCGGCACCAAGTGCTAGTAACATCCCTAAGATAGGGTGTGACAATAGTCACCCCAAACCCTAATATGAATGTGAATGTGAAAATCACATGACTTGACTGTTGATACTCAATTTTGATCCTATGCAATTCGAGTTAATTATCGAGCTTCTTCAATTTCAGAAAAATTTGAAATAATAATCGTCTTTGAAAAATCCTAAAAGTATTTTAAAATCTTTCTCTAATTACTTCTATTAGTTTTTCTGAAATAATTATATAATACATAATAATTTTATGTATTGATTTAAATATATTTTTCATCTTTTACATAAATATTTAATAAACAGCCTAAAAACAGTGTTTAGTATAAATACATATTTCTTTCCTTTAAAATTAGAGAATTTTATAATAACGTATAATTAGTTCTCTGCCTTAAATAATTAACTCATGACTTGATGATTAATTTGTCTTGTTTAAATTAAGAAACTCAAATAATTAATCGATAATCATCCATCTCTTTTTAGTTTAGGCCGGATTTAGTTATTTGACTCAATTTGGTTATACCTAAATCTAATTCGGTTAGAATATCAACTCAAGTGATCAAATTTTAAATAAAAGGTCATCCTCTTAATTCTTACACACTTGTACACATATACATATATTTACGTCTCTCGCGCTCTCACACTCTCCTCTCTCTTTCTCCTTTTCCAGCCTTCACGCGCGCTCCTCTCCCCTTTAATTTCTTCTTCCAAAACACAAAAGTCAAAACCAAGAACCCTAATTTCTTCACCCAAACGACACTGCCCCTATCACCCCAGTCAGTCTCTCTCTGTATATTTGAAAGATGATAGACCTCGGGCTCAGATTGTTGACTTTAGTTTAGATAAAAATCTCACCCAAACCTGTGAATGTAGTCATTAAACTTGATATGGCCAAAGCTTATGACAAAGTTTCTTGGCATTTCTTAATAAAATTTCTGGAGAAGGTGTGCTTCAATAATTGTTTTGTCGATAAGATTTGGAGGTTGATAGCCCACAATTGGTATTCAATTTTGATAAATAATCAAGCTACATGCTTTCTCATTCCACCAGAGGAGTGAAACAAGGGGATCATTTATCTCCAGCTTTGTTCATTCTTACTGAGTTACTGTTGAAGTACTTTCTAGAGCTTTAAATATTTTAGTCCTTACTGAAAGCTTCAGGAGTTATGATATGCTTAAATGGAGCTCATACATATATATATATATATATCTCAATCACCTAGCCTATGCTAATGATACTATTGTAACAGATAGGCTTAGATAGATCCCTATTATATCTAATCTATCTATGTAAAAGGGTGAGTAAGTTGTGATGTCTTAGGAGACTATTTCTCCTCAATCTGTGTTGCCTAGTTCTTATAGGACTCTGTGTTTCGTCTACCTATATATTCATATTGCTGTACATATTTTATGAATGAATGAATATCTCTTACATGGTATTAGAGCCTTTTGTGGTTTAACACCATTCTTTCTTTCGTTCCAAAAAATAAAAATTCTTTGAATAATCAGAAACGACTATTCGAATGGGAGATAATACTGAGAACTCTTCTACCCTGGCAGCTTCAGTTGTTTCAACGAATGCCACGGGAAACTACTATCCTACACCTAATCTCGCTCACCAGTTGCCAGTAAAGCTTACGTCAACAAATTTTTTGCTTTGGAAGACACAATTTCTTCCAATGATTTGCGGTTGTGGTCTTAACCATTATATTGATGGTAGCGAACCAGCACCACCACGTGTTTTGGATGGTGATAAACCAAATCCTGCATATAAGGTTTGGGTACGTCAAGATCAGCTCGTCTTGAGTTGGATAGTCGCTTCAGTTTCAGAAAGTATTCTCCCTCAATTGGTCGGAGCAGAAACAGCTCGTGCAGCTTGGGACAAACTTGTTGCAGCCTATGCTAGTGGATCTAAACCATTGATTCGTGAACTTAAGGCACAATTGCACAACTTGTGACGTGATAATGCAACAATTGAAAGTTACGTGCAAGGGGCAAAAGTTATTGCTGATAAGTTGGCTGCCTTGCAGCACCCAGTCACTAATGATGATTTAGTCGAGTTTGTTCTTGCCGGATTAGGTTCTGCTTATCGCCCCTTCACAAGGTCACTTGAATCACGTCACGAAGACATCACCTTTGATGCACTTTATGGTTTGTTGTTGAATGAAGAAAGACAATTAAAACGTGAAGATGCCAGTACTGTTATTGCCCCAACAGCACAGTACACACAAAGTTCATTCTCTACACATCGTGGACGCGGCAGGGGGCGTACTAATAGGGGTCGTGGACGCTCTGCTAGCCATGGAAGTTTACAGCAATCTCAAAGTCAGCATTATGCCACTGCAACTCATTCGGGAACTTATTCAGGAAATCCACCCCCTTCCATTGATTATTCTGGAATTGTCTGCCATAATTGCGAAGGAAAGGGTCATATTGCACGAGTTTGTCCGTCACCTAGGACTATGAATGGAAATCGGGTATCTGGCCGTCCTTCTTCAAATCTAGCAAGTACATCTTCCCAAACAACACAAAATTGGTTGATGGATAGTGGCACCACACATCATCTGACATCTGATCTTAACAACCTTGCTATTCACTCAGAATATCATGGTCCTGAAGAAGTTACTCTAGGTAATGGTTCCAAATTGCCCATCTCGCATATTGGTAAAGGATCTCTATATATTTCTGATAAGTCCTATGTTCTTGATAGCCTGCTTCATGTTCCCACTGCTACCCAAAATTTATTGTCCATCAGTTCTTTTACTAATTCTAACCAAGTCTCAATTGAATTTTTTCCTCACTATTTTTTGATTAAGGACTTGGCAACGAAGGCAACTCTTCACAAAGGACCGAATGAGGGAGGTCTATACTCCCTTCCGATATGGACATCAGTTTCTTCACCATCTTCATATGCTGCTTCACTTGGTGTTTGGCATGCGCGCTTGGCTCATGCGTCTTATCCTATAGTTCGTCGGGCTTTGCATTCTAGTAAAATTATTTCGTCTAGTTGTCAGTTTTCTAGTTTGTGTCCAACTTGTGCTGTTAGCAAGAGTCATAAAATTCCTTTTGTTGATTCTAGTTTTCAGGCCACAGGCCCTTTAGATTTGATTTGTTCGGATGTTTGGGGTCCAGCACCTGTTATTTCGAATGATGGATACAAATATTATGTTATTTTCTTTGATCATTATAGCAAATACACATGGATCTATTTTCTTAAGTTCAAGTCTGAAGTTCTTTCCGTTTTTATTCAATTTCGAAAAATTGTGGAAAAATACTTTGGTCGTCCGATTAAGAGCTTTCAAGCAGATTGGGGAGGTGAGTTTCAAGCATTAACTTCTTATTTAAGAGACAATGGTATTACACAACGTTCTTCTTGTCCTTATACCCCAGAACAAAATGGTTGTGTAGAACGTAAGCATCGACATATTGTTGAGACGGGTCGTGCCTTATTAAC